GCAGTTTGAAAGTAAAGAACAAAGACAACTTGAGGTCCAGTAAGTAACTCATCTCTAATTGGGAAGGATGGTCCTGACAGACCAGTAAGAATACCAAGAGAACTGAAGGAAAAGTTTGAGCTATGAAGACGTCAGGGGGAGAATATAATAAACAAGGGAGGAGAACATAAAGTTAGTTCCTTATTTGCTCATTGTTTGTCTGCTTTGGATTTTGCCACTCCCCAGAAGAGAAAATGAAAACTGCTTGTGGCTTTTGGTTTTTTGAAACGCAGAGTAGAAAGGAAGTCCTCACTTTTTACAAAGCTGTATCTCATGCTGGACTCTCTCTCTCTGTCCAAGTTCATTTTATCTTTTATAAGAAAAAGCATTGGCTTAATTTCCTCTCACCCGTAGAGCCTAGTTTCACAAATGAGTCCTCCGTGCATTGAGGAAGATAGGTGTGCGTGTTCCACTTCTCTCATAAGAATATTTGAGCTGTGATTTTGGGTGGGCAGGTGCAGGATGGGACCAAGAGCCTCTACAACCACCCGGACTAACGTTTGAGCCAAAGAAAGCGGTATTGAAGAGATAGGGGTGGCGGGTCATTTTAAACAACTTCCCGGGGAGTTGCTGCCGTCCGTGTATTTATCCTTGGTTGCTTTGGCATTCTCTAAGATTTCCCAGTCTAACCTTTGCCTGGGGAAGTATTCAAAATAGGCTCCGCTTGGCCCTTTATTGTGAGTAACTTAAAACGTGCATTAATCGCCGTTCTTGGGACCGCAGTGTTTGCTATTATATGTGGTCCAGTCAACTGACTGACCGACTGGTAATTTCCTAGCGTGTTTCATAGAGCCCTTTTCCCTATATTAATACATTCTCCTGTTTCTATGTTCAAGGTAGTTGCAGTTAACAAAATAGCAGGAGGGTTGCTCATTCTTTTATATGCCAGTGGGGTTTTTTCGTTCACCTGATGGTGCCCTGTACTTGTTCCTTTGCTTGAAACCTGGATATTATATTTCAGTCATTTTAAATGCAATTGGTTCTTGGTTTTAGAGCGTATCTATATTTTTCATAAATCTCTACAAACGTTAACCCTTGCTGGTTGGCGCAATATAGCGTTTCACTGGCGTGGTTGCGGCTGCTCGCGCGCTCCGGGGTCGCGGGACGTCGCGCGCCTTGCGCCGAGGGTTCCTCCCTCCCGAAGCGGGGCGCGTCCCCGCGTCCTTCCCGGACTTTAGCGCCCGCCTGCGCCTCCGGGGCCTTCCCGGTCCTCCCTGCCCCGCGGCAGGCGGGCACGGCAGGACCGGAGCCGCGCCGTAGCACGGGACGGGCGGAGTTCAAGAGGCCTCGACCGCGGTGCACGTGCGCAATCACGTCTCGCGTGTCGGTCGGTGCTGGCGGCACGGGGTGGGTGGCCCTTGGGCGCCCCGTTCAGGAGGGGCTGGGCGGGAGGGGCGCCGGGGGCGCGCAGGGCGGGATGCGCCGCCGCCCCCGCGTGTCGCGTCCTGGGAAACTCGCCCTTGCGCTCCGTGCCAGGTGCGGCGGGGCAGCCTCTGCTGGAGGAAGAGCCGGCGCCGCCGAAGCGGGAAGCCGGCCGGGGCGGGGGCGCTTTGGATGCGCACGGCTGCCCTGCTCTTAGGCACGAGGCGGGCAGGAAGGGCAGCCCGAAGGGTGCCGAGACCCTCCGGCAGCCAAACACGGGAGGCTGGCGGGAGGCTCCCCCGCCGCCTGCTCTTCCCTTTCAGTTTCGGTTTCCCGCCCCGCCCCGCCCCGAGGCTGGGACAAGCCTTGGTGATTCCTGGAAAAGGGTTGGAAAGGACCTGGAAGATGTCTGCCCGGCTCGCCCTTTGCGCCGAGTCGCAGGGCTGTTTTTCCTTCTCTTTCTTGCGCCAAAGGATGAAGAGAGCCCGAGAGGAGCAGGAGCCCGGGCGGCTGAGTCAGGCTGGCGCCCTGTTCCCCCGGTGTGCGCAGCTCAGCAAGAGGCCCTTGCGGGGCTCTGGGCGGCGGTTTCCCTCCCTCCTCCTCGAAGCGTCCAGCGGGGGCACATTTGCCTTTTGGCTGCGACCTGAACCAGCACTAAGGCCAAGCTGAGGAATTTCCCGTCATCACCGAAGTAGCTCACTCACCCAGACCCAGAATGCGGGGAGAGCCCCCCCTCCCCGGGTGAAGAGTTCGCAGCTGCAGGCAGAGGGGAACTTCCGAGCCTGCTGCGGTGGCTCTCAAGGGTGGGTTTTTGGCACCGTGCACCTTTCTCTCTCTCTGAAAAGCCGCGTTGCGAAACGGCCTCCCAGAAGCCTTCCTGCGTGCCAGCAAGACGTCCTGCAGAAGTCAGGGCCCTGCCTCAGCGGCTTCGGCGAGTGCCGTGCCCCACTGTAACACCCCCCTCCCTGGTGCTTGACTTCGCTGGCACCGCACTGAGCCAGCCCTTCCATCTGGGATACAGGTTGAAAACTAATTTGGGGGACAAAGCTCCACTGGAACTTCGTAGGGCTTCTCCACACAAGGAACCTACTTGGTGCCAACGGTCCTTCACTCACAGGGTCCTTTCCACCATGTTACTGTCCTCCAGGGCTTCTCCCATGTTTTCTAGATGTTTATTTTATTTTATTTTATTTTATTTTATTTTATTGAGTGAGGAAAACCCGGTGTACCATTTTAAATCGTGACAACCTGGCACACAAGGCTGGTGGGAAGGCCCACTGACGGTGTCTCAGCTGCACCACGTGGCACCTTATGGCTGAGGAACAGGATAGACTGGAAGGCAGAGAAATGCAGAGCTCAGAAGAGGCCTCTTCTCGGGACCGAGTGGCACAGGAGGCCTGTTCGCAGCAGCGGGATGAACCCTTGCAGAGAAGCCCCAAGCTGCAGCAGAAGCGGTTTCCTTGTTTGGAGGACGCTCCTGTTCCGTACATCCCCAGCATCCTTTTTCTTGTGGAAGGAACAGTGCTCCAGTCCCTTAATTGCTGGAGTTCAGGCCGAGTTGCCCGCTGGCCGGAACTTTCCGGAGCCCGTCATGCAAGTCTGTAGACTCTACATGGAGGAGGAGTGTGGGGGTCTCTGCCTCCCTCCCCTTCCTGGCCCCCGCACCCCCCGCATGGGTTGGCCTGGGGCATGGGATTGGCCGGCACAGGGTGGGTCCCCGCAGACCGAGCCCACCTGGAAGTGTGGCTGCCCCCCGGCAAGGCTGGCTGGCTGGCTGCAGGGCTGGCGCACGTCGGTGGGCGGACCGAGTCACGGGGAGCCGCGGGCCAGACGGTGGGGCGAGCCTTTGTCACCACGGGGCTCAGCAGCGCTGAGCAGTGCCCAGCAACTCCGGCTCGTGCTCGGGACGCGCGTGGGCCAGCTTCCAGTCTCCTCAATAGCAGCCGTGAGACATGACGACGGGGTTCCGCCAGGAAAGACCCCTTTCGCCTCGAAGCTCAGCAGCTTTGGCTCTTTTGAAAGCTGACCCAGGATCCCTGGCGAGTGGCTCGTGTGGTCCCCTGCACAAGCAAAGCCCATGTACAGGCATTTTTGTAACCTTCCAGTCCCATACAGAGTATTCGGTTTCCAGATGATGCTATCACAATGGCATCTTGATGTATTTCAGCATGGCATAATGTTCTAAACCGATCAGGAATACTGGTAACCATAGTATGGAAAATATTACTGATTGCTCGGATTCCCTGGAGCAGGCTCTGTGTCTCCTTAAACATGCAAATGTGTCTGACTGAGGAACCATTCAGGAAACTGAGTTGACAACTGCTCTGGCTCTGCTGAGCTAAATGATTCAATGGGCAAATGGACACCTTTGTCTCTACAGCTGATGGGAGCACTGGTATTTCCCCACGGTCGAGTTAGGCTAGGGCGGCTTCACCGGGATGCTCGGAATGATTGACGGCAAAAGGAGAAGGGGGCGGCAGAGGATGAGGGGGCTGGATGGGGTCACTGGGGCAGTTGGCGTGAGCTTAAGGGGACTCTGGGGGATGGTGGAGGACAGGGGGGCCTGGAGGAGTGTTGTCCATGGGGTCGCGATGGGTCGGACACGACTTCGCAGACTAAACAAACAAAAGAACCCAGCAGCTTCTCAGTACAGCTACGAATTCCATCTTCTTAAAGTCACAGCAATGCCAAACTGTAACCTGGCTTGGAGTTCTGCTGCTTTCTGAGAAAGGAGCTTCCGTTTGATTGTATAATACAAATAAGCAACCTTTTTCTACCAGGATTTATTCTGGATTTCCCCAGGAATGTATATCCTGCCTTTTTTGCTTCCAAGGGACTCAGGATGGCTTTCCTCATCCTGCGCCTCTTCTCGGTCCTGTCCTCACAGCCTCAACCCTGTGCAGTCGGTTCAGCTGAGAGCAGAGCGTGGTCCCTGGCCCCTACCCACCCTGAGAGCTGCTCCCTGCTGCTTGCGGACACACCCTTGGGGAGAACTGCTTCCGGCCACCAGCTGGTCTGGGACTGGTTGGAAAGACGCTTTGGCTGGAAGGAGGGAGGGGGGAATTCCCACCTGCTTGCTTTTCCAGCTGGGCTGTGAGGTTTCAACAGGTGGACTCAGCAGGTGGGGGCCCCCCAGGGAGGAGGCTCTGCCCCAGAGCACTTCCCCTCCCAGTTTCCTGTGGCTTTAGGGCAGGGAACGGAGGCCTTGCCGGGAGAAGGCGGGGACGGCATGCCAGGGGTCTTTCCAGGCCCCTCTGCTAGTTTCTTTCCATCGCACTCCCTTGGGCGGTGAGTCATTTTCCACAGCGATGAAAGCCAGGCACTTCGTCCTTAAGGAGGAGGCTGAGATGCAGATATCTGGATTTGCTGAAAAATATTGGACAGCCGGGCAGTTGCACAGCCTTTGGAAGAAGAGGGTGTTGCAAGCGTCCCAGAAATGACACCAAGCCAAGTTACAACCTTCAGCTGTTTCCTTCCTTGCGCAATTCCGCGGTGCCCCAGCAACCGAGATGTTTTGCAAGCCTTGTGGTGGAAATTCTGCTGCTATCTCTCCTCGCAGGAGCAGCGCCTGCCCGCATACGGAGGCTTGGTCTCGCCCCGTGCGCTGTTCATGCAGTGGCTGCCCAGCTGCCCCCGGGAAGCCTGCAAGGGGTGCACGACAGCAGTAAGTCCCTTTCATCCATCTGTTTCTGGTATCTGCAGCCTGCCTCTCTCCTTTCGCGTAGCTGACGCCGTCCTCCTGCTCTTTCTCTCCATTTCATCCTCACGACAGCCCTGTGGGGTACGCCGGGCCGAGAGTTTGTGACTGCATCAGCCACTGGTCGGTCTGGACAGCTCGAGCGATGGAAAGAGGTGGAGATGTGTTTGGGCTTGGGGCAAAAGCTCCCGCTTCTCTTAGCTGCTAGTCTCAAGGGCGCGTGCCTTCCAGAAACTTTTAACGAGGAACAGATCTGCTGGAAGGATGTACTACCCACTGCTATACGAGCCGCACAGTTCACGCTCCTGCTTGCTCTGATGAGAGCCCTGCCCCTCCTCCCCACTCCCGTAACAGGGTCCTGTGAGGTGCACTGCAGGCAGCAGTTCAACTGGCAGAGCTTTGCCAGCTCCCTGTGGCAGCTTTCATTCTGGGGGACGTCCGAAGGCGCTCAATGTGTCCAGAAGCGGATATGGGGCCGTGGAATTTCACTGCAGCATGAAGGGACTGGGGGCCGGACTGCCAAACCCTCCACGGAACGCCATTTCCCCGGGATGAGAACTGGGGGGGGGGGGGGCACGGAGGCTGCTGGGGCTGGCGTGCCCTGGCTGCGCAGCCTGCACTGACCCTGCAGGACCCGGCAGAAGGGGAAGCCCGGGAGGCAGCCTCCTTCCTTCCTTCCTTCCTTCCTTCCTTCCTTCCTTCCTTCCTTCTCAGGGGGCAGGCTGGGGGCCGTCTCCCACCTCCCCAGTCCAGACAGAGATCTCCACCCATAAAATGCAGCCTGCGAAGCTGAGCGAGGGGGGGAACGGCGCAGGGCAAGCGTGGAGGCGAGCAGGGGCGTGTGGCCAGGCACAGCCGGGCCTTTTTTCCTGATCCGTTCCTGCGCATTTCTGCGTGGGGCACTGCATGCCAACAGCTCTGATGGAAGGTTCAGCCTGTTGCAGGACCCGTTGCCTGGATGCACTGGAAGAGCACTCTGCTCATGCACGGAAACACTCTTGGTCCAGGCGGTTTTTCAAAGACAAGGCTCAGCTGATGTGCAAGCAACAGGGAGAGAGAGAGGGATCACGATTTTACACTCATGCTGTCTGACACTTCTGGAGGGCAAACGGGGCAGGGGGCCTGGGGAAGAGGTGGGGTTTTGAGGAGTGGGTGGGAGGCAGTGAGCCAAGTACCCCAATGCGAGTGTTCCTGAGCATGTAAGGGAGGGCAGGCGGACTCTTGAGAGAGGCCTTTGGGCGGGGAGGAGCTGAGGACGGGGCCCCCGTGCCCCCTGCTGCCACTGCTCCGCATGCCGCTGAGGTGACCCCCCCCCCTTGCCTTGGCAGTGCCTGGCCCCGTCTCCACAGCCCCCACTCCCAGCGGCAGGCTCAGCATCCCAGAAATAATCCGGAAGAAGCGGGATGGCCAGAAGCTGTGGGAGGAGGAAATCCGGTACTTCGTGCAGGCCGTGGCCAGCCGGGCCATGAAGGACGGGCAGATCGGTGAGGGGAGGCCGGCCGGGGGGGGCTGGAGGAGGCGCTCTGAGAGGAGGGGTGGCGCTCTGGCCCCATTGCCGTGGGGCGCCCCCTGAGCTCGTCTGTGGGGAAGGGTTAGCCGCAGAGCGGCAGGTTCCGTGCCCTGTGCCCAGCAAGGCGTGTGGCCCCGTGTCCTTCTGCAGCAGACCTGCCTCTGCCCGGACATGCCTGTCCGGTTCCAGTCCGGAGGTCGGGGCTCGTCCGCAGCGGGCACCTGGGCAGGCAAGCACCTGCTCCTGCCCCAGTCCGGTCATCCGGGCCGCACTTCCCAACCGGCACCGCTGAAGGGGCAGCTCCGGGCACTGCCACCTGCGGCCTCGCATTCCCTTCGCCCTCCTTGTGGGCAAAGCATCGGTGGCTCCGTCTGGGGAGCATCTTAATCCCGCCGGTGATTAAAAATGCACATGCAACTCACGGAGGGAGCCGAGCGGCAGTCCCAGCGCAGGCGCCAAGGGGTGCCCCTGCCCCAGAGCTGCCCCCTGCTTCGGCCCACTCCCTTAGAAAGCTCTGGGCTCCCCAAAGCCACAGCCCCTCCCGGCTGTTTCTCTGCCTGCTCCCGAACGGGAGGGGTGTCTTTTTCCCGAAGAGGTTCCCCGCCGAGGGTTTCGGCCTGGCACGTCCCACCATGCCACCTTCCGGACCATGCGCAGGACTCTGCACGCTCGCCCCCGAGCTCTGCCGATCACCCTTCCATGTGGGGAGGAATTTCCCCAGTGCCACACCGGGGGCTTCTCTCCGAGGTCCTGAACTTGTTTGGCACCCCTGACGTGAGCAGACAGGTTCTCCACGGAAGGCGACACCCTGCGCAGCTCAGTGCCCGCCTTGGATCCACCACGTGGGGGCCGGTGGCCACGTCCGCCGCTGGCCAGGCCTGGGCGTGTGGGGGGCGCCCCGTGCCTCCGGCCCGAGCCGCCCTGCCGCACCCCCTCGGCTGACTGCTGCCTTGTAGGAGCCCTGCTGATGGCCATCCGGCTGCGGGGCATGGAGCCCGACGAGACACTGGTGCTGACCCGGGAGATGGCCTCGTCGGGGAGGATGCTCGCGTGGCCGGAGAAGTGGCGGGGCCTTCTGGTGGACAAGCACTCCACCGGCGGGGTGGGCGACAAGGTCAGCCTGCCCCTGGTGCCGGCCCTCGCGGCCTGCGGCTGCAAGGTGAGTGAGCGGCCACCCACGGCCCCGCGGCCCCCGCACCCGCTTGCCCCCCTGCCCCGCGGGATCGTGCGCCGCCGGATGGTCCAGTTCAGGCCCGGGGGGAGCGCGCTGGCCCCACGGCAGACGGAGGCACACTCGGCGGAACCCGACCTGCCCTTTCCTCCTCGTGAGGAATCCCAGGTGGCTGGCCAGGTCTGCTCCGCTCCAGCCCTGTGCGGAAGGCTAGGCTGAGCGTTGGGGGCCGGCCCGCAGGTGCCCAGCACGTTCCGTGGCTGTGTGGGGCAGGCCCCCGGTCCCCCTGGGCTCAGCCCCACGCCCTTGCCCCCTCGCCCCGCTGGCTGGGCACAATGAGCGGGAGCTGGGGAACCTGGCGCCGTCGTTATTTGTTTTTCGGCGCCAGGCAAAGACCTTTTTATTCAAGCGTCATTTTAATTGTTAATGTTATTTTTATTTTAAAGTTTTTTGGCCAGGGCGACTTATTTTATACAGTTACGTGTATTTTATATTGCTATTTATGTATTTTAATTTATTTATTGTAAGCCACCCCGAGGCTTCGGCGAATGGGGCGGCCTAGAAATTTTCTAAATAAATAAATAAACCCGGGGGCTGGCGGGCTGGAGGGGGCTTCCGGCTTCCAAGAGCGATGCCCTGTTCTTCCTCGCCGTGCCTGGCTGAGGACTGCCCCCAGCCAGTTCTGAGGGACAGCCACCTCTTTCCTTTGGCCAGGTGCCCATGATCAGTGGCCGAGGACTGGCCCACACCGGCGGCACTCTGGACAAGCTGGAGTCCATCCCCGGCTTCACGGTCACCCAGAGCCCAGAGCAGGTGAGCGGCCTGCGCCGTGGCACGGACCAAGGGGCCCGGAGGCTCGGCCAGGCTGTGCAGCGCTTGCGGGGGGCGGGGGGGGGCAGGCCGAGCTGCTGGTGGGGGTGCCAGATCTGAACTGCGGGGATCCCCTCGCAGCCGGGCCAGCCCTCCCAGCGCCCTCCCTGCTTTGTGGGCCCCGTGGGCATGGGGGGGGGGGCTGCCCAGGGGCACCTTTGCCATCCCAGGCGGCGGGGGGGGGCAGGGCACACGGTGGGGAGAACGTGCTTGCGTTTCGGTTGGCTGATCCACCCACTTTCTTGCCTGCCCCCCCCCCCCCCCCGCCCAAAATGGGACCCAAGTAAACTGAGAGTAAAAAGTCCCACTCAAGGTTAAAGCAAAAGGGGAAGAAAACTGTTGGGAAAATGCAAGTAACTAAAAACAAAACAGCAAAATCAGCTGGAATTCCCACACCGCTCTGAGCCCTCTGCGCACGTAAGGGCCGCGGCTGCTCTCCGCTCGCTGCTTCTTGCTGGAATTTCAGCGCCTTGCTCCAGAGGAAGCCAGCCTGGACTGGGGCAGGGTGGTTGGAGATGAGCTGATGGTGCCAAGGAATAAAAAGTCCCTTCTCCCCCGTCCTTCGAGGGGCTGCCTCCAACCTGGCAGCCAGCAGACCTGCTAGACAAGAACTCCCAGAATCCTGCAGCTGGCTGGCTGGGGGATTGTGGGGATTCTTGCCTAACACTTCTGGCGGCTGCCAGGTTGGAGGAGGCGGGCTCTGCCCTGGACATGGAGGGAGGTGCTGGGGATTCTGGCCGGCCCGCAAGATCCGTGCCCGTGGATGGCGCTGGTCCCGCCCGCTGCAGATGGAGCACATCCTGGAGACCGTGGGCTGCTGCATCGTGGCACAGAGCCAAGACCTGGTCCCGGCCGACAAGATCCTGTACAGCCTCCGGGACGTCACGGCCACCGTGGACAGCTTGCCGCTCATCATAGGTAGGGCCCAGGTTGGTCGGACGGCCGCTGGGCTGAGCCCTCCGGGGTCCCTCCGGCCAGGCTGCCGGAGGGTGCCTCGCATGCTGGGTTTTCCTGGCGTGTCTCAGAAATGTTGTTGCTGTGAGTTGTGAAGTCGTGTCCGACCCATCGCAACCCCATGGACAACGCTCCTCCAGGCCCCCCTGTCCTCCACCATCCCCCAGAGTCCCCTTAAGCTCACGCCAACTGCCCCAGTGACCCCATCCAGCCCCCTCATCCTCTGCCGCCCCCTTCTCCTTTTGCCGTCAATTGCTCCCAGCATCAGGCTCTTCTCCAGGGAGTCCTTCCTTCTCATCAGGTGGCCAAAGGATTTGAGTTTCATCTTCAGGATCTGGCCTTCTAAAGAGCAGTCGGGGTTTCCAGACAAAGTTCTTATGCAGGCCTTTCCGAAGACCTCGTCTCCCCTTTGCCGCGCTCCCACGTCTTGCTGTGGGGCCTTCCGTCCTTTTTCTCACCCCAGAAGATCCACTAATGTGGGAACGGGGGCACACCTGGCAAAAAGCCGGCAGGGTGCGATGTGCAAGCACCGGGCCGGGGGCCTGGAAGGCGCGGGCCCGGGTCCCCACGCAGCCGTGCAGCACACGGGCCGGCTTGGGCTTGGGCTGGGCCCTCTCCCCCGGCTCGCCTGCCTCACGGGGTGGCTGTGATGAGGGGGAACGGAGCTGCGCAAGCCACCCCAGGCTTCTCTCAAGCCAAGGGGGCCCGGATTTTACATGCGGAGCAACAGCAACGACTTTGCCCCCAGTGCAAACCGGGCAGAGAAACGGGATCGGGTGCCGAGTCCTGTGTGGCGGCCAGCAGTCACCCCGGCGCTGCGCCACTTCTCTCCCACTGGTTCCGCAGTGGCGCACTGGGGCGCTGACTCAGGAGAGGGATAATACGGAGATGTGCTCTTGCTCTTTCCACGTGCCATTTGGAAAGGCACGCAAGCCGATTGGTCCAGCCGTCGTGCGATGAGGGAAGAGGCCCCCTCGCTGGCTAAAGGATGGAGGCTGAGCCGTTCAGGCCGTGGAAGGGGGTTACAGTGGGGTCCCCCAAGGAGAACTGTCTGGGTCTGCTTCCCTCACTCTTAATGGACTGCGTGAGCACCAGACACCCCTCGTCCAAGGGCTAAGCACGTCCCGGGAAAGGCCCCCGCACCAACTCTCTGGTGCTGCCACAGCGTCCACGAACCGGCAGTGCCGATCTCTTGCAAGGGGAGAGTTTTCGGGACGGACGACAGCCAGAGACGGAGGTCTGGCTGTCGTCTTTCAGCGCCCTCTTCCTCCTCTGTCCGGGGGCCTGGGGTTGGACCCCGGTCCTGGCAGGGTCCCCCACCTGTCTCTTCCACAGGGGAAGGCCAGCATGTCCAGCTTGCCCGTGCCCGTGCCCTGCCTGCAAGCAGAGCCAAAAGGGTTAGCCGGCGGCACCCCAGTTGAATTCCCTGGGGTTCAAGGCGGGGCGAGCTTGCCTTGGCACGGCACGGCACGGGTCCCACCGAACAGGAGGCATCCCTGCGGGGCTGCGACGGACTCCTGCCGGCTCCGGATCCTCAGGGCATCTGCCTCTCTCTCGGCTCACAGGCTCCATCCTGAGTAAAAAGGCGGCAGAGAACCTCTCGGCCCTGGTGCTGGACGTGAAGTTTGGCAGTGCCGCCCTCTACCCGACTCTGGAGAGCGCCCAGGAGCTGGCGGAGGCTCTGGTGAGCCAGCCGGGGCGGCCGCCTCTGGCTCTCATGCCTGGGGGTGCATCCTCGGCCGGATCCCCCGTGGAGGGGAGCTCCCGGTGGCGTGACCTCAGGGGCAGGACCCAGGAGGGGCCAAACCCTCCCTTGCATGGGAGCAGCGCAACCAGTGCAGGTCCCGTGATCCACCGAGTGGTTTCCATTTACCCCAGGAGAGGCAGGGTGGGGGGCCTGTCCCACAGCTGGAGTCCGGCAAGCTCCCCGCGTGGCTTGGCCCTGCCTTCCCCCATGTGGCGCCCTCCAAGTCTGCTGGGCTGCAGCTGGGGAGCCCCGGGGCTTGCGCATGCTTGCAGTTCAAGGCCAAGCCCCCTGCGGCATGAGCAGCAAGTCCCAGGCAGACCCCGCGCCCTCGGCCCCCTGCAGTGGGAGGGCTAGGCAGGCCCTGGGCAGGCGCCCTGCCTGCCGTTCTCCCGCCCCCTTCTCCCTCAGGTGTCCGTCGGGACCCAGCTGGGGATGAGCACCGCCGCCGTGCTCAGCAGGATGGACGGGCCCCTGGGGCGCCGCGTCGGCAACTCGCTGGAGGTGCTGGAATCCCTGGAGTGCCTGGACGGACGCGGCCCGGCGGATCTGCGGGAGCTGGTGACCACGCTAGGTCGGCCACTCGCAGGGCTCCTCTTGCACGGGGGGGGGGGGTGGCGCGCAAGGCTTGGACCCTTTGCTTCTTGTTGTGGAGGGTGTGAGTGTGCAGGCTGCCCAGGAAGGGGGGGGGCTGGGCCCCAGCACCCCAGCAGGCCCACAGCCAAAGCCCCTGGCCCTGCCTCTCCTCTTTCCCCTTGCAATCTGCTTGTTCGCCTGCCTCTCACTCCAGCCCCAGAGAGTGTGAGGACAGGCCTGGGTGGGTGGGGGGGCTGCTCCTAGCATGGGGGCTCTGCGGCCAAGCTGCCCCCGCATCCGGCCAAACCTTCCTTGTGCGGGCAGATTTGCGCCGGCCTCTTGCCTCCGGCACGGCTCGGACCACCGAACGCCCCCGTGGTGCCCGCAGCAGCTCCGCCTGTGTCTTCTGGGGGGGAGCCGTGTCGGGGTCCGGAGCCCCTTTAGCCAGGAGCCCGTCCTGCAGTGGCCAGCGGCGTGTTCCAGGTGGCACGCAGTGATGCAGCCGCCCCGGGGCAGTTCAGGGCAGAACCCGCTCGTGCGGAGGCAGACGTGTCCCTCAACAGTCACTGAACACGTTAAAGACCGAGCAAGTGGGAGTGCGGCAAATGGGCCTCAGAGCATTGGATGGAAGCTCACGCCCCCAGCGGGGCCCCCCCAGGCAGGTGCCGGAGACCATGGAGGGCTCCCAACCCTGTGCGCTGTCTGGTCGGCTCTCCACGTTCGCGGGGGCTAGGGGCGCAGGACCCCTGCGAAAGGGAGAACCACGGCTACCGCGAGGGACTCCCTTTGGGAACGTCCTCCCTTCCACGTGGCACTTGCGGCCTCGCTGGTGCCCTTTGTCTCCCAGAGGGCGCGGAGAGTGGAGGCATTCGTGGCAGCGCTTGCGGCTGGAGGCCCGGGCAGTGAGGCCCACGCAAGCCCCCCGACTCTCTCCAGGCGCCTCGCTGTGGGGCCAGGCCACAGCTCGCCCTCCCCTCCCAAGCCCCACTCCTCCAAACACGGCCATCCCGATGGGCTCCGAAGGCTCCTGGCCCCTCGCCACCTCCTGCCCCGTGGCCCTGGCTGGACCGCCACCCCGCCTGCGTGGCCTTCGGAACGGGCTTCTCTGGAGTGGCCCCCGGCCCGGCCCGGCCCGGCCCGGCCCGTCTCACCCGCTCTCGCTTCCCGCAGGAGGAACCCTGCTGTGGCAGCGCGGGAAGGGCGGCTCCCCGCCTGAGGGGGCCGCCCAGATCGCCCGGGCCCTGGACGACGGCTCCGCCATGCGCCTCTTCCAAGCCATGCTGCAGGCGCAGGGCGTGCGGGCCGAGGTGGCCAGCGCTCTGTGCGCGGGGACGGAGGAGCAGCGCCTGCGGGTGCTGACGCGGGCCCAGGCCCAGGAGGAGCTGGTGGCGCCACGGGACGGTAAGCAGGGGTGCACCGGGGCTGTGACGAGGGCAGGTGGGGATGTGGCCCCCGTGCATTGAGCCCTTTTTCCTATGGGGAACGTGTTACGCGGGGGGCGTGTATTTGGCCAGGGGTGGACGGGAGGGGAGGGGAGGGGAGGGGAGGGTGCACTCCATGCTGCTTGCCCGCCCACCGGATCTTGCCCTGGCACACTAAGCTGCCGCTTGCGGGACACGGAAGGGGCAGAGTTGTGGGGCCGCACCTCCACTGCAGGCACTGCTTGTGCGGTCCTGATCCACGTGATTCCAGAGTTCGCAAGCCCTCTACACAACCTCAGACTCCTCTTCCGTGCTCCTCAGGCATTTCTGTGGCTTAATTTTTCTTTTTAGAAGAATGAGAATATGGGACTGCCATTTCAATCCCAAATGATGAACTGGAGTGAGCAGTTGAGGAACTCCCGTGTGAAGGAGCTGATCTTAGTCCTTCACAGACTCCGGCGGGAGAAGCCTCGGGGAAGGGCGGCTGCAGGCCTCGCACAGGGGATCGCTCTCCATGCAGCCAGGGCTCCCATGCCGGAGCAGCCCAGCGCCCCCTCCCTGGCTCCCCTCAGGAGACACTTCCGGCAAAAGGATGCTTGGCCCCTTCGTATAGTAATTAAGGCAGAGCAAACCTCTGCTGGAAACAAGAAAGGATGTGGATCAGAAGGAAGGCCGGGCCACAAAGCAAGCGCACAGGCAGGGAGCACCGCACTGCAGGGAAGGCGTCTGGAAGGCCAAAGCTGAGGATGAGCTGAGCTTAGGGAGGGAGGCCAGAAGCAGTGAAGAACGCCTTCTTCAGATCCGTGCGTGGTAAAAGACGAGGGAAAAATGGGGGCTCAGCTACTCCGTGGGGACGGCAAAAGGTAGAAGCGCTCAGCTCCTGCTCTGGCTCAGCCTTCTCCCAAAAGATTGATGGAAAGTACGAGCTGAAGGGGCAGGACGGCAGCTCAGGGCTGCCAGGCGAACGGCCGAGGCGCGTCTGTCTCGGTGGCATGAGCTGAGCAGAAAAGCCGTCGAGGAGGGCGAGGCCGTGGCGGCCCTGCGCAGTCTGTGGGCTTCTGCGTGGCCAGTGGCAGGAAAAATCCCGGCAGAGAGGGAAGCGGAGGGGGCAAGATGCCCCCGGAGGCGGATTCTGGCCCACGCATGGCGGTTCCAGCACTTCTGGGGCCGGCTGCCCCAGCGGGAAGCCCCAGGGGGGATGTGGGCGCGAGGGGGCCCTCCTGCTCCAGAGGGTGGGGGGGCAGTCTACAGCCCGCGGTGGGGACCACGGGCAGGCGTGTCCTCCGTGAGCTTCCTGCCCCCCGTCAAGCAACCTAGCACATCTCCTGCAGCGAACTCCTCAGCCAAAGCGCCCCCTTCTCTCTCCTGGAATCGGAAGCGCTTCCCATCTGCACTGTGCCAAGGGAGAGGCTGGTGTGGGGGGGCTGCCTTCTCCTAGATCCAGGAGGGTCCCTCCTGCCCCTCTGAGAGGGGCGGTGCCCCCTCCTTCCACCAGCGGCAGGGGTCTCGAGGCAGCCCCACTGCACCCCCACCCCCCTGCAATCTCGGCCCCGTGGGGCACCCCCCTTCCTGCCCCGGCCGGCTTGGCGGCGGCTGCGGCATTCCACCGAGGGTCCCGCGCCTTCCTCCCCCGCAGGGACCGTCCGGCAGATCCATGCCCTGCCCCTGGCGCAGGTGCTGCACGGCCTGGGGGCCGGCCGCAGCCTGGAGGGACAAGCCATCAACCACCGTGTGGGTGCGGAGCTGCTGGTCTCCGTGGGGGAGCGGGTGAAGAAAGGTGAGAGCCTGCAACG